CCATTCATCAGTGTCAGCGAGAGACAATCAGAATCCCCTGACGGAGGGCTCCGCCGCTGAGCTATGCTGATGGTGTCGATATGTCCCGGAGCCCGTCGGGGAAGGTAGAGGGGTGGTACGTTATCTCCTCAGATGTCACTCACAGGGGGAGATCAAAAGGAAGGAGAGTTAGGGCTGTAGAAGTGCTTGCTCACAGACTGGCACGCTTGGCTCCGCTGGCTGTCAGTTCGGTTTACAAATGCTTCATCAGTGGAACAATCACATGCACACTTAAAGATGTGTGAGCGCACTGCTTTTCAGAATTGAAATGGGTGCTGCTTTGATTTGATTGATTTCACTGCAAACATCGGTTGTAGTATTTATGTCCTGATTTTCAGTACAAATATCTGCACATCCTTAAAAACAAAATACATTTAGTTGAGATGCAAAATTGTTTAACATAAAACCATTTGTTTACAGAGAACATACGTTGAATTAAGACTATCTATCTGAGCTCATTGGGCTTATTTTTTCACTAAATTTAGCTTGTTTTATCTTATGCAATTTTGGTCTATTCACTGTAAAAAAAAATTCATAGTTAAATTCATAGTTAACTGAAACAAAGAATATTTAAAGTACGTTTTTCTTTTTATATTCTATTATATTTCTTTAATATTTACAGTAAGTCTTTCCATTCCAAAATGTCACATTTAATCACTGATCTATTATTTATTATCGTTATTTATTTATTATTTATATATTACTATAAAGATCAGTGCCCTATTCACTTCTTTGTAATTATTTGTGAAACTTACTAACCATTTTTTGAGTGAAAATTGTTTCTACACTTTTAAGTGTGGTAATTTAGTTTTGTTTTTAAAAATGTTAGATACATATTCTGGAAAACAAGACGTAATGAGCATCAAGAAACTTTTTTTTCTTTTTTGCTGCAGTGTTGTGAGTCTTTGGCACGGAAGAAGCTTTTAAATCATCAAAGTCAAATTAAGTGTCATTTTGCATCATTTTTAGCTCCTTTTTAATGACTTCTTTGTACATTCTTTCAGTCTCAGTATAATGTGATTTAATGTAATAATGTAATTTCACTTTAGACAAAAACTGAATGTTTAATCTGAACAGTCTGTAAATAAGGCTTCCAATGTACTTAGCTTTCATTTATTGCACATACATTTTTAAACTGTTATGCAAAACAGGTTTTTCAATAAAAATGTACAAAATAAACGATATGAGAATAATGAGATACAGTAGTTTAGACAAGGATCAGTGTTTCCCCTGCCATTATATTAGGGGGGCGGCCCGCCCCCTCAACGGCACCCCCCGACCCCCTTGAAGGTCAAGTTAATTTTATTTAATTATATTTTCTCTATAGCGCCAGATCACAACAGAAGTCATGTAAAGTTACCTTTCCGATAGAACGGGTCTATACCTTGTTCTTTTATTAAACAAACTAAATAGCCTTATGTTATTTATCTTATTTA